AAGACTGCTAGTTGTTTCTCATTGTTATGATATGGACTTAACCCTCATGGACATACCCTGAAAATTTGTAATTCTTTTACACACATAACAGTTGTTACCAACCACTCTGTAGTGCCAGATTCCTCTAGTAATAATAGCTTTTATCCACATAATATGTTGGAGGCTTCAGTAGACCTGTAAGGTAGACAAGGGCCAAGGTATTTATTTTGCCGACAGAAAAACCCCACGACCCAGAAGACCCCCTACTACAGCAAAGGACCATACCACGGCACTCCCCTGCAGCTCCTTTTGGTCTATTATAAAGATTTATCTTGGGACCAGCAGTTAGCATAATGGCTATGTCTCTGGACTCCCATGTAGTCAACCGCGGTTCAAGTCCTGGACCTGGCGTCTTAAACTCACGCCATTTGAATGCATGCCCAAGATCCCGAAAGGAGAATGGAGGAGAAGGGATTGTGGCATGACCATCCCCCCTTGGGGGTGATTTCTCGCTTTCTGTCTCTCTGTCTCTTTCTGTCTTTCTGGCGAGCGCATGTGCCCTGTAGCAAAAAACGCTCCAAAAAAAAAAATTTAACTTTTCTGCATCTAAATAAGTTTCAAGATTCTTTCATGGAATGGTTTATATTTTTATAATGAATAGTAGTTTTTCTTTTCCAGATTCATGCAGTGGTAGAAATTTATGTTTTCCAAATGTCAAAGAGGAGAGAGAAGAATAGCTAAATTAATTATGACAGATCCATACACTGGGATAGGATATGGCTATTAAAATTAATGTTTTCAAAAAATAGATAATGACACAGTAGGGAACTGCTCTTAATTACATTAATGTTGTGAGAAAGAAGTTAGCTACTCAACACTAAGATCCCTGATTTTGTTTAAAATTTTTACATGTGAAAAATTACTGGAACTAAATATACCAAAATGTTTCTCAGAATAGCATACTTTTATTCTTTATACCTTTCTGAATTTTCCGTGTCTTTGTCTGTGAATTCATATAATCAAAAAACATAAATGTTGTTTTTGTTATATTTCATATTTTTAAAAAATTAGTTGTAGGAATCCTTTGAGTGATTCTTGCTACCTTTCATTTATAAAAACATACTTCATCAATTAGCCTTTAGTTTAAATGAAAGAATTGTTTATATTATTAGTTTATACATTTGAAATAAGTAGTGTGTGACTGGTGTGTACATTTTAAGTTGGTCATTATAATCCATTTTCTTGTCTGTTTCCTTAAACTGACTCCTCTTTACATGCTTCATTAATTTAGCCAAATATCATTTTCAGGTCTGTCTTTATTTAGCTGCAGATACATGGAGGAAAATAATTCAGTCTCTGCTCTCAAGATATAGCAATGTGGGAGACCAAGTGATGGCACAGTGGTGAAATGACTTTGCAACACTGACCGAAATGGGAAACTTCTGGGTTCAGGTTGAAAGGCATCTCTGAATACACTGGGCATATTCATGCCCATGAGCCAGTGTGGACTGGGGGTAGGAATTGGCAGTTGCAACAAAACTATTGGGGGGTGTATGTCTCCCTCATAAAATAAAAATAGTAAATAAATAAGCTTTAAAAGAAAAAGAAAAAAATATCAGTCTGCACCTAGCCACAGTGGTATCCACATGGGAGGCCCTGGCTCAATTCCCAGTCCAACCTAAAGGCCAACAGGTGGTATTCACTTCTTATCCCAGCGAATAGGGAGACTAAAGCAGGAGGATCATGAGCTTGAGACTGACTTTGGCAACATAGGGTGAAACCCTGTCTGAAAAAGAGCTGAGGATGGTGATGTGTACCTGTATAAGGGAGGCCAAGGTAGGAGAGTTGCAACAGTGAGACATTACCTAAAAAAAAAAAAAAAAAAAAAAGAAAAAAGAAATACCAGAGTGGGTTGAGACATACACCAGTAAAGCAATAGTCATAGTGGAGAATGATTTCAAGAGAAAAGACTGTGTTGGGTGTTCAGGGAGCTCAGAGGGGAAGCATCATGGTCCTGGGCAGTGGGTGAGGCTGAGAAGCCCTTCGGAAGAGTTGCCTCTAAGCTGAAGGCAGCTCTGCTCTTTTGGATGACCAGCCTTAGCTTCAGAAATAAGGATAACACGCAGATCTTCTCATGTTTGCAAACAGTGTCTGCCTCATAGTTTTTCTTCTTTTCTTCTTCTTCTTCTTTTTTTTTTTTTAATAAGAGTTAAGAGGTTTGAAAATAATTTTAAAAAGACAAACCTGCTAACCTGTTAACTTGGGCTGTGGGGCCTTTATGTTTCCTTATCAGGTGGTTCTTTCACTCTGTAATCTTCAGTTTCCCTGTGTTTCTGTTTGTTTACATTTACTAAGGGTTAGTAGTGAGGCTAAAGCATAATGGCCATGCTCTGAGATTATCAGTGATATCAATTTGTAGAATTTCACACTACATATCCCTTTGTGTGGTGGTTAATACTGATTTAGATCACTTCTTCCATTCCTGTTGATTCCCCTGCTTCCCCTTATTCTGCTGAGAGAGATAGGTAGATGTCTGTTTATTCATTTTATAAGGATAAACTGAGTCATGGGATTATCATTTGACTTTCCCAAATTATGAGAGTAAGTAATGGAGCTGGAAACAGAAATTAGGATGCTTTTGTTCAAAGCTCTGGCTGCTGAAATATTTCTCCATATAAGCAGAAGAGTTGTTTGCCAAAAATGCATTCGCCCTTTAAATCTTTAGTGAAAGTAATGAGCTTAAAATAAAGTCTTTGGAAGATAATCATATTGCTATAGCTCAGAAGAGAAGTTAAGGCAATTTGACTAGATTAAAATGAGTCCTGAGTGAGGTTTAATATTAGGTCTGTTTAATCAATTTGTTCAGCAATTGATTTTAGTTTCTTTTTGAAAAAAGTAATAATAGAAACATTCTCACAACGTATCTAAACACATTTGGGGATGAGTTTTGATTCATTTAAAAATTTTCAAATAGGGGCAGCAAGTGGCATGGTGGTTAAGGTGCTGGATCCCGCATGACCAACTCTGTGGTTTGAGTCTGAACCTGGCTGTTCCGTGCATGCACATGTGCCCAAAATCCCAAGAGGAGAATAGAGAAGAATGGATTGTGGTCATGGCCATCTTCCCTTTGGAGTGATTTCTCTCTTTCCTCTTCTCTCTTTCTCAGTAGAGTGCACATACCCAGAGTACTAATGATTTTAATAGTTAAAAAAATTACTGAGAACATCAAAATACTTATTTTTCAATGTATTAAAAGAATATCTTTTGATAATGAAGTTGGAATAATCAAGTAGCATGAAATACAGATATTAAGTATCAATTGTAATTCAGTTTTAATCCTGTCCTCATTTGAGAAAAAAAACATTTTTAAATGATTTCTGTCATAGGGTTTCTTTCAAAAGTTTCTGTCAAGACAATTATAGGCAGAAACCCCCATATCTTGCCTGGGCTCCTGAATTTGTTGTCTACCTAAACTTCGTTATGACAGATAGGTTTTATGGTCCCTGTCTTAATGTTCTTTAACTCTGTGGTTTTGTGATTCAGAGACTGAAGAGATGGAGTTTATGAATACGATTGAGCGGGCACATCATAACTGTCAGTCTTCCCTCTGTAAGCATGGTTCAATTATTTCACCTTCCGGGCCTTCAACTACTGAGCTTTGAGCAGAGTTGTACTATACATGTGAAAATAGAAATAGATACAAAAGAATAAAGTAGATATCATCCTTGAGTATATGGGGAGACTGACTAAATCCACTGAATTATGTACCAATATCAAAAAATAGAAAAACTCTGGGACCAGCAGTTGGAGTAATGGCTATGTTGCTGGACTCCCATGTAGTCGACTGAGGTTCAAGTCCCAGACCCGGTGGCTTAAACTCATGCCAGACACGTGTGTGTGTGTGTGTGCCCAAGATCTCAAGGGGAGAATAGAGAAGAATGGATTGTGGTGTGGCCATCCCCCCTGGGGGAGTGATTTCTCGCTTTCTGTCTTTCTGTCTCTCTCTGTCTTTCTGGCAAGCTCATGCGCCGTATTGCAAAAACCTCTCCCTCCCCTCCCCCCCCCAAAAAAAGAAAGAAAAACTCTGCAGTTGGGTTAAATTATGAATGTAAGGGGTGAGAAAGAATAGGAGATTGAACCCAGATAGATGAAGTTAATGCCGGAAAGCTTCATGGGAACTAGGAGGGAGGGAGAACTATGTACCATGGAACAACCCAGATAGTACTGGTTTTTCAAGATAGGGATCTGGTTCTTGAATGTCTTGAAGTAATTATTCTAAGCAAAAGAGAAGATTTATGTGGAGTGTGTGTCTGTGTTATTGTGGGTAAAATATTAACAGGGTTAATCAGGATTCAGGAGAGGATAATGTAGGTCATATTTCCTTACATGTAGGCTTTCTGTAATTTCAAGCTGCTTTATTTTTATGGTAGGAGAGTGAACTGTAGTGCCTGTCTCCCTGAGATTGAATCCTAGCCTTGCCATTCTGTTATTGACCTTGTTAAAGTTACTTAATTGCTTTGTTCCTCTGTTTTCCCATCTGCAAAATAAAATAGTATTGGTATTAGCCTCACAGACTATTGTCGAGATTAAATACATTAATGCATGTAAGTCGTTCAGAACAGTGTCTAGAAAAGGGAGTAATAAGCTATACATGGATTGTAATTTGGTTTTTGCAACAAAATAAAACTTGTACTTTATTTTTCTATGAACTTTTCGAAGGCCCCTCATACATGATAGGCATTAATAGTAGAAGCAATGGTAGTCTCTAATCCCTATCCTTTGATTGTTTTTGACCATAGCACTGGCTGGGTTCCTGCCCAGAAGCAGACATACGTGGGAAGTTCTGATTCAGAGAACAACAGGATTCTGTGAATTTGCTGCGTCTTTTCCCTTTCAGTGACCACTGTCTCTCTTCCTAATCATATGTCCCTACTCTGTTCCAGACGGTTCTAAACTGAGACCTGAAAAACGTTTCATGGAATTTCTTCTATTCTAACACACTTCTGTCTTTGTGTCTTCAGGAATGAGGGGAGAATCCTACTTCATTGGAATGAGGAGCCCCGGGCAGCAGGGCCATATCCCAGAAGATGGAGGACTTTTCTTACTGTGCTGCATAGACAGAGACTGGGCTGTCACTCGGTGTTTTGCAGAAGAAGCCTTCCAAGCAATCACTGACTTCAATGACCTCCCCAACTCGTTGTTTGCGTGCAATGTTCACCAGTCAGTGTTCGAAGGAGAAGACGGCAAGGTAAGAAGTCCCATCTTTCCCTGAAACATGAGGAGAAGTGGCATTATTTCAGCATACTCCCATTGCTCATTTTTGGTTGCTGTTTCGAAGTTTTGGAAAATGTTTAGTTGGTTCTATTTTTGGCATGTGTAGCAGAATGAGAAAAGTCTGTTCTATTATCAGCTCACTTTGGAGGTACACTTGACAAGGTTGTAGATGAGCCTGTGTTGAATGAAATCTTCTTTTTCTTTGTTTTTTTTTGTTTTCTTTTTGTTAAATTTATTTTATACATGCAATCACTATATAAAATAAATTTTAAAAAAAAAGAAAAAAGTTCTCTGCAACTCGTAGGTCTATCTAACAAAATAAGTGATGTTAAGAATATGGATTTTTAGGAGATACCCCTTGAGCTAGGAAGCAGATGTCTTAAATTTCTAAGAGTTTTATTTTCCCCTCATTTGCCAAAACCACAATTGCCTTTTCAAAATAGCATAAGCTTTCTTTCACACCTACCCCTCCTGCAGTTTGATTAATGTTCTAAAAATAGCTTCCTAAACTGTGACCTAAGTTCTGCAGCAGTTTTTAGAGAAGGTAAATTGGTTGGCCATCTGAGTCCTTTGTTCACTGACACTGTGGTAGGTGGTGATTCTGTGCATGTGTTAAAACAATTTAAAAGACCACAGTAACCTCTTGATTTGAAATGCTTGGGAAATGAGGTTGTCTCTGTCTAAGCCTTTTCTGGCTTCCTGTTTTAAGAAACAAATTTAATTTAGTACAAATATCCTTGGAAATCGCAGTAAATATTCTGATTGGAGATCTTTCTAAAGTTCATTTTGGCTTTTACTGACCTTTTAAATAGAGTATGTGAATGAATCAAACCCTGCTTTGTGAATGTGGATTCCTAATGGGAAATACGCATTGTTATACTATGTGGTAAAATAAAGATGACATATTTTGAGGAAAAGATTTTTTTTTTTAAGTAAGTGGCTCTTTATGACATGTGAGAGTAGGATTTATGGTTATTGTTTCACAAGCTTTAGCTCTTTCTGTGAATTGCTGAAGTCCAAACTTTGTTGTCTGAGTGCAGTTACTGGAGGTATGATTTCTGGATTTTATTGATTTGGTCACAGTCCTCATGGCCACAGAAAAAAAACTATCCCAGAGGATGAGGAAATATTTTAAACCATTTCAAGATATTTTTATAGCAATATTATTTTTGAATTGAACAATTTGAAATGACGGGCTGAAAGAACTGCAAATGTGAGGACTTACATGTGATTAGAACCGTCGATGCTGTGATCACCAGTCTATTTACAGTAGGAGACTGATACATGTCAGTGTCTTTGAAAAAAACTAGGAATTTTGTTTTTGGATTATAACCAGGTTTTAATATAGATTATAATTTACTTGGGGCAAATAATTTCCTCAGAAGTACACCTGCTATAAACTATGAAACAAGGGCCCATATTTTGTCATTATAGCATCTATTTATCTCAATCTCACAATTAGAAATATTTTTCTTAGTGGTTTAATGGGGTTTTGATTCTCATCTGATTAAATACTTCCTAGTCTATCGACATAGTAAGACCTAGGAAGGTGCTAATCTCATTAAGGAGTATTGCTCAAGGAGGCCAATCAACTGGACCAGATTGGGAGGCATGGAAAGACAGAGGCTTAGGGAGAGTTAACAGGATTCTCCCCGCATCTATTTTGACGTTTTGATCTGCAATTGAATGACCGATAACAAAATATTCCTGTTTAACTTGTACACAAAGTTGGTGCATAAAAGCTTGAGAAATAGCATTTGGATTTTAAAATGACCTTGATAAAACAGTGAGGCAAAATAAATAAGATTTAGTTAGATGAAACTAATTTTAAATTATTTAGATCACATTTTTATAGCTAAGGAAATGAATTTTAACGTTGGCCAGTGTCTACATAATTATACTTATTAAATCAAACAGAAAGTCTACCTTGGCGTGATTTTTATAGTCCTAATTTGTAAAGAGTCTGTAGGGTATCGCATAATCTGATTTAATCAAATATACCCAGGTTAAGGACAACAAAGCAAGATAATCAGCTACCACATGAGTTGACAATAGCCAGGAGGCATGATCTAGGAAAAAGATGATTGGGGAACCTCAGGGCACCTCATTTTCACTGCCACATGTTTCTTTTCAAGACCTAGCACTATTATAAACAATCTTACCTCGACCTCCATTCCCCCCCACCCCCGCTATCTTAATAAAATCGCTTATCATGTCCTCCATTCCCTCAGGATATTCTCTCCACAACACTCAGATTTCATGGCTCTGAGGCAGGAGGTCTGATGCTGGTTATTTTTCTCAAAGGGTGGACTTTTTAAATATTGTGCCAGGTTGGTGAGGAGCTATTTTTAGGCCAAGGTAGAAGAGGCCAGAAGTCTTTCTAGCACTCCTTGTATTTGCCATGGCAGAGCTGGCCATAGTAATTATTTTTATGTTTGGCTTTGGGAAGGTACATTCAACAGCCGGAAGCTATCAGGGAGATGAGACATTAGAAATGACGCTTAGCATTCATTTCAGAGGTCCAGGTGGGTAGGTGATTACATATCTAACTTGTTTTGACAGAGACTTTTCTTTTTTTGGCACAGCCTGCTTTTAAATCATTGTATCTTAATATTAAAGTGAGTTTTACCTCTTTCTTGCAATTATTATGAAGTGTGTGTTTTAACTTTGTTTGGCTTTCTCGCTGTTGTAAATGAGTCTTGCTGCCATATGCTCTTTAATTTCCTACATGTTTGAGACGCCTTTCCTTAGCCCTTTTACTTTTCGAGGTAATTTGGAGAGGGCTGAATTAGATTGCTCATAATTTAGGTAATACTACAGATTATGATATTTTGGTTAAATTTTTCTGATTTAGCAAAGTGGTAAGTATTCTGACGTGATCGTTTCTGCTAGCTTATTTAAATTCTAAGTTCCAACACCTACATTACATTTTTTAAACAGCTTTGTGAGGGCAATGATATTCACTCCAATTTTCAGTTAGGCAGAATTCTGTAAGATTGTATTTTGATTTGATGCTTTTGTGATGCGTGAGCACATACTTCTGTGTGGCTTGTTGTGGTCCAGATGGTTGAGATTTGTTTATATAACACAAAGGAGAACCAGAGCTGGAGGAAATTGGCATCTGAAACCAATAAATGCAGATTGCTGTTTGCATGCTATGCTTAAAGTATAAATATTTTTGTATGAAACACATTTAGATCAGGCATTTCATAGAATTCAACACTTCGAAGTTATTAGGGTTCATTTCCCTTCGCAGTACTTTCCTGGGCTAGCCTTTCTCAATCCAACTAGGCTGCAGAAGGCATCTTGAAAGAAGTGAGGCTGGGGGTGGGGGCGTGTTCTTCAAACTGCCCTGCATCTGTGCGAAAGATAGAGCAGGGACTGTGGAATACAACATTGACACACTGACTGTTGAAGAAGAACAATGAAACAACTATGGGACATTTAGCTAAATTCAATTGAATAAGGAGATGCCCAAAAGATGACTTTGTAATGGCCTCCAGAAAATATGAATCAACTCTGTTTAATAATAATAACGGTAAGGCAGCAGCTCATACCTAATTAGCAGGGCCAGCAGGTGGCATGGTGGTTGAGATGCTGGACTCCCATGTGGCTGACCATGGTTTGGGTCCTGAACCTGGCAGCTTGCTTTCTCACTTTCCCTTTCTCTCTCTGCTCAAATAAAAGATAATAATAATAAATTAAATTAAATAAATAATTCTTAAAAAAAATTCTAATTAGCATTGTAAGGTGCAGGTACTTTTTCAAGTGCTTTGTAAACCATGAGAGAGGTGTCTTTCTACCTCTCTACCTTAAGGGCACAATTCCAGATTGTATTCCCTAGACTGTACTGGTTAATTATGCCAAATACATAAGCAGAAGTGACACAGTATTTAATGACCAATATAAAATCCTGAAGAATGTTCTTTTCCTTTTGTTAGGGAAACTAGCATTGCACCAGGTAGTGCCTGGTTAGGCAATTTGGATCCCAGGATAAGGACAATGTTGATATAGGGCAGAGTTCAACCAACCCATGATGAACATGCAATACAACAAGAAAAAACGAGCAAACAAATAACTTTTGTTACTTTAGACCACTGGGATCTGGAGTTTGTTACTAGAGTATAACAGTCCATCTAGATTGACACAGAAAGTATCATTGTTCCCATTTTTCTGGATGAAAACTCTGAAGTACAGAGTTTGCTCCTATGGTCTTACTGCTAGAGGTGCCTGATTTGGCCTTCAAACCTGGGCTGCTAAGCTACAGACTCCATGCTCTTAAACGTTATGTAATGATGCCTCTTTATATACAAATATTTATTGAAAACAAGTCTTATACTTGGCTCTGGGGATGCAATAGAGAGAAAAATAGACATAAATACATTGAAGTTATAATCTACCAATCAAAATCAATTCAAAATAAGCAAACGAATAATAAACATAATAAATGTTCACAGTAATGACAAATTAAAAGGGCATTTAACATAGTTTCAACTGTATTTTATTGCCTTCACACACACACAGACACACTCACACAAACATAGGTACAAGTTGTTTTTTCTAAGTTTGTTTTGTTTTGTTTTTTAAATAGGGGATCCTTTCTGCCAACCATTAGAGTATATTCTAGCAGAATGGGCATGAGGTCAGAGACCTGGCTCTACAGGTCTCTTAGTTTTTGTGTTTATCATAAATGGATCATCTCAATGCATTGTGAGTGACTAAAGGTACACACTTTTATTCAACATGGCCAGTAAATATGAACCAATCCCTTCTTCTGGAACTCAGCTGAGGAAACAGTGATTTAGTATAACATCAATGGCATTATGAGGGCATACGAAAGGATTTTCAAGACCAAATCTGATTATTTGTGGCTTTTACTTTATTCCATGTAAGATTCGCCCCCACTCTAATTTGTGGGGGATTGAATGTTCAGTTTATACTTTACAACTGCAAGTCAATAATCCCTTATCTGTA